TTTCAGTTGTATTCCTAGGTTTTTAGTACCTACCGTAATTGTAAACAAATTCACCTCATCAGTTGTGGTCTGGGAATTTTAGTACCTGCCGTATTTGATATATTTTTCCCTCATCACTTGTGGGCATGAGGTTTACTACCGTTGCTGAATATATTTTTCCCTCATCAATTGTGGTCCTAGATTTCTAGTACCTGCCATAATTGTGATAATTTTTCCTCATCAGTTGTGGTCTATTGTTTTTAGTACCTGCCATAATTGTTATGCTTTTCCCTCATCAGTTGTAGTCCTAAGGTTTTAGTACCTGCCGTAATTGTAATAAGTTTCCCTCATCAGTTGTGGTCGAAAGGTTTTTAGTACCTACCGTAATTGTAATATTCTTCCCTCATCACTTGTGGTCACAAGGTTTACTACCATTGCTGAATATACTTTTCCCTCGTCAGTTGTGGGCTAAGGGTTTTAGTACCTGCCATAATTATCGTAATTTTCCCTCATCAATTGTGGTCCTAGATTTTCAGTACCTGCCGTAATTTTTATACTTTCCCCTCATCAATTGTGGTCCAAAGTTTTTATTACCCGCCGTAATTGTAAATATTTTCCCTCCTCAATTGTGGTCTAAGAACTTTAGTACCAGCCGTAATTGGATTAATTTTCTCTCATCAATTGTGGTCGAAGGGGTTTAGTCCCTGGCGTAACTGTTAGTATTTTCGCTCATCAATTGTGGCTTAAGAGTTTTAGTACCTGCCTCGTCAATTGTGGTCTAAGGTGTTTTTGTCCCTGCCGCAACTGCTACATTTTTCCCTAATCAGTTGTGGTGGAGGGTTTTTAGGACCTGCCTTAACTGTTATAATTATAATTTCCATTCATCAATTGTGGTTTAAGGTTTTTAGTACCTGCCGTAACTGTTATAATTTTCCCTTATCAATTGTGGTCTATTGATTTTAGTACCTGCCGTAATTGTAATATTTTCCCCTCATCAATTGTGGTCTAAGACATTTAGTACCTGCCGTAAATGATATATTTTTTTCCGAGTCAATCGCGGTCTATGGTCTTCGGTGCCTGCCGGTACTGTTATAATTTTCCTTCATCAATTGTGGTCGACGGTATTTAGTATCTGCTGTACCTGCCGGTATTGTTTTAATTTAAGGTCTTCAGTAGCTGCCGTGCCTGCCGCTACTGTTATAACTTTCCCTCATCAATCGTGGCATAGGGTCTTTGGTACCTGCCGTTACTGTTATATTTTCCTTCATCAATCGTGTTCTAAGCTCTTTGATGCCTGTTGCCACTGTTATAAATTTGCTCTTCAATCACAGTCGAAGATATTTTGTACCTGCTGTTATTGTTATAACTTTCCCTCATGAATTGAAGTCTAAGGTCTTTAGAACCTGCCGTTACTGTTATGTTTTCCCTCCTCAATTGTGGTCCAAGGTCTTTGGCGGCTGCCTTAGCTGCTATAAGTTTCCCTCATCAATCGTTGTCTAAGGTCTTTAGTGCCTGCCGTTACTGATACAATATTCTCTCGTCAATCGTGGTCATGATCTTACTGCACTAAAAGGCAGTAGTACAGTGACACATTATGCTAGACTTATGAACACGACAAAACATCAATAGTCCATGGAGTTAGCCATGCTTACTGGCACTCGCTCAGTTGACTACTGGCTTCAGTTATAAGAGCCCCCCTTCCTCTGATCCACGACCACTCCTATTGTATCATAGCTAGACATAACCATGTAGAATGCTGGCACTGTACGCCGCCCTGCCATCTGCGGATGTTAAAGTTCACCATACTTGCGCGCATGATTCGAGTACTTCTTTGTTGGTGTTTTTGACTCTTGTGTGCCTGTGTTCTTAAATCTCCGCTTTGGTAGGATATATGGTGTAAATTTCATAGCTCATGAGATTCTATCTAACCTGATATTCGCTGACGCCACAAGTAACACTACAAAGTAAAATAGTGCGATACATGTTTCTGATACTACACATGCAAAAAAAAAAGCCGTGATACAGTTCTTCTAGTCTGGAAATAGTTTCAATTAATTGTCTATTTACTCGATTTATGGCTGGTATGGAACATGCGCAAGCGATCTTCTCAGTATCCACACATAGCACCCTTCAGCACAGGCAATCACCTTTTGCTCTCAATTGCTGAGATTGTAACCTAATCTGAGTAGCACTTGGGTTTGAACTGCTTGACCACCAGCCTTGGACTACCGACAAAAGGGCAGCGATGCTTTAAGATTGTCTCAACACCGGTCCGATCAATAGCTGGGGTGATATTTTGTCTCCAATCTGTGCTCGAGAGAACTGCGTGAAGTACTCTTTATCAAGCAGTATAATGCCGGAAGAGAGTTGAGGTAGAAAGAGAAGTCAAATCGTACCATGATATTTTTTTGGTCAGCTCGGACCGAATTCTTAATGGCTTTCTAATAGGAGGCCATCGCTTTCAAGGAATCTAAGCCGAGCACAGCCTAGTAAATCTCGTGTGGCTAGATGTATATATATACATAAATAAGCCATCGCTTTCAAGGAATCTAAGCCGAACACAGCCTAGTAAATCTCGTGTGGCTAGATGTATATATATACATAAATAATGAGTCCGACTATCAGAAGAAGAATTGTTGAGTGAGATAAAAAATACATCCAAGGGGATAGTGGAACTTATTGTCGTTATGTGCAATCGAATCATTATTCAGCTATTACACAAAACAACGTCTGTCGTGCTATTGCGAACGTATCAACACTTCATGTTTGTTGTTGTCTTTTAGTGCATTTTGTCATTTATTCTGAACTGGATTCTCTTTATGATACCAAAACTAAAAGTCATCAACCCTATGTATTCGTGTTTGTTGGTACATTTTCTTTCGGGAAGTACAGTCGAGTAGTTTACGCTTAAGCTGAAACACTAACAGGTTGAGGTTTAAAAAAGTGCAGCTGGGTGAACGTCACCGTATTGCGGATTAGACCAGAGGTAGAACCTCACATCTTCGCTTTTATAACCGTCCAAGGCAATACCACAGATTTCTCTCTGCAGCTTTTGGCACAAGGTAGTTATCAGACACTGTAATTACTGCTTAACCATCCTGTTGGCTCGTGCTTAAGACACATAAGGCCCGGATTAATGACATCGAATGTTAACAAACTATTTAGTAAGTAACTCCGAGTACAGATTAAAACAATGAGTATCAACAATTCAAACCGACATTGAAGATCAAAACGTTTTTTCTTGTATAGCGGCCCGTGTCAGTAGCTGTGATTAGTTTGATAAAAAATGCACAGCTTCCCTACACTAATTACCAAATAGTCTTCCTTTAAGACCGTATATGAGGTCGGTAATGACTCGAAGATGTTGCAGTACTCCTGCTTAAGGGACAAGTGCAATCGTTACAATTCGCAAAGCATTTAGGTCTCACCCTGACAAGCGCATCACTTTCCTAAGCGTGGCAATGAACATACCGCTAATTATTTATGGCTCTCACGTACAAGCGTATCACTTTCTTAAGCGTGCCAATGAACATAATCCGATATGGAGAACATTGCTGGCTATTGGTTGGCGCAGTCGTCCACCACAATGTAAACATGAGAGTTCTGTCACAGCTGTTCGAATCCACAGACTGATCTGAGGCTGATCTGAGGCTGATCTGAAATCATGTACCTTTGCTACTTCGGACAGTGCACCTCCGATGCTACTTGGGCTTGTGCTGTTATACTGCTTCCATTGATGAAGATTCCTTACTTAGCTGTGGGTGAATACTTAGGCGGATACAGATGAGCACACTGTGTACATTTCGGCACCTCACATCATCTATGACTGATAATTTATTCTACTTTATTTACCGCCCAGCCCTTTTTCTTCGGCTTCTTGACTACTATCGCCTTATGCGTCTTCGTTAAACCCGTGAGTTGGACTGGCATAGATGGTTTCTTATGAGTGCGCTTGCCGTTCTTGTCTTTGTGCTTCTGTACCTGTTTCGATCGCTTGTGTATGGCTTCAGTATTTGCTGTTGTTAGGTCGACAGAATAGGACGCTGTGCAGAAACATAAACCGCAAACCGAGGTAATAAACGTTTAGAAGTGTGGATATGTGTTAGTCTATAAACCATCAGGTTGTGTTGTTGCTAATGCGTGAATCTCAATACGTCATGTACATATACATCAGTGGTGGAGTATGTATGCGTATATCCATATGCTCTGTGACGTATTCGGAAGAGCCGTCTATGTTCTTGCGTGATATAGGTTCAATTGTGTAAAACTCCAGAGGTGCGCAATATAATCTGTGCGCATATTCACTTTTACATATCATATCCGGTTTCAGTTGATTGTTATGATCGAGTCAAAAACGTGGGCGCGCAGTAAGATGGTAGTTGATAACAATGATATGGTAGTAGATAACCTGCACGATACCAGCGTAGTTTAAATACTATCACGATTTCGTACGTGTGTTTTCCGTGACAATGACTCACTTCGGTGTTTGAACGCATTGTAAACGGTCTAGTGCGTAGTAGCCGTCTGAAATACCACATGTGACTATCGCAAGGGAACGGTTTCAGAGCACACGTTTGAAACAGTACTCTGATGCCATTTCGCTCGTAACTGCAGCATACATACGCATATGTGTAAGCACGTATATGCACATATCAATGGAACATGATATGGACATATATGTGGAAAATCCAATACATGCGTAAACACGTATGTGCCCATGTCAATGAAACATCAGCGATTTGACAGCCAATAGGTGTGCAGGCACAATCAAAACTTCAGCGGAGATGAAAGTAACACTCACGCCGAAGATACCAGCTGTGAACTGCGCAACGACACAGCTCTATGCTCACGGGGACGGCACATTCACGCACAAGCTCACGCACACACCAACAAGGTGAGCCAACACCGTCCCAATACACACCCGCGTTCGCGTCGATCAAAGACGGCAGCTTAAACGTAAAGAAACATATCCTCCGTGCGCGCTGGTCCGCTTCCTTTGCCGTGAGTGTGGCTACGTCTGTCTCTGCACTCGTGTTGCCTAGTCCACGATGGTGCGTGCGTCCGTCCAGTACTAACACATCCCCCATCTCCATGCTCAGTGCTACGGCTGGCAGAGTGTGCTGTGGCCCGAGGTGACTGCGCGGCTGGATCTCGGTCCTTCCCACCTGCGAGGACGGGTGGTGGGTGTGAGAGTGTACCTGTTCATATATACAACAAACGAAGGCAGCATAACAAACGATAAATGCATAATAAACGACGAAATATATTGCGTATTGTCCTAGCAGAATAACAATGAAAGCATATAATACATGCATAGTTTATAATGTAAAGCATGCAGAATACAACGGTCTAGCTGGTCATAAACTGAAACTGCCGCTCATATGGAATTCAAGAACCCACTACAACCCTACTATCCGACCTAATCATTTAATTGGTAAGTACAACAGGCGCCCTCAAACCCTGAAACCAAGCACCACGAAACACAACCAGATACACTGCTCCATATGCTCAGTGTCACAGGCCACTTGCTCCCCATACCTTATGCGTGGTATGGACAAGCGGTACAAGAAACCCCACATAGTGCAGACTACTACACCAGTCTGCCACTTCAAAGTGCCCGGGCACGGGAACGCTGTCAGTGTGCCAAACCTGGTTTAAATGTGTGCACGAGTTTATGAGTTTGGTTGGACAAAAGTATCGATGGTCCAGAATCCTTATACTTAGAAAAAAAACGATCTCGCCAACGGATCGAACCAGCTATATAGATATCAAACTTTCGGCACGTGACTCATATTTACGAGCAAATGCCCATACATACAGAGCTACACGCACCCATTCCCATCCCGCAAGTGAAACACCAACAATAAACAAGCCAACGCCACTGAGTGATGTCCATTGTGGAGAGTGAAAGCGTTGTAAACGCTATGATGTGAGTACATTCCCAAAGTCCTGCGATTTCCGGGCCGTGCCGGGTGACACACACACAAGCAACCAAGCAAAGCACAAGCCACCAAGCAAAGCACAAGCAACCAAGCAAAGCACGAGCAACCATACAAAGCACAAGCAACCAAACACAGCACAAGCAACCAAACAAAGCACAAGCAATCAAGCAAAGCACTGGCAACCAAGCAAAGCACAAGCAACCAAGCAAAGCACAAGCAACCAACAAAGCACAAGCAACCAAGCAAAGCACAAGCAAACAAGCAAAGCACAAGCAACCAAGCAAAGCACAAGCAACCAAGCAAAGCACAAGTAACCAAGCAAAGCACAAGCAACCAAGCAAAGCACAGGCGAATCACGCACCTGATCTTTGGAGCCTTGCTCGCTGACTATGCAGAATGCATCCCCTGCGCGCAGTCCCTTTGCGACTGTATTCTTAATGCGACGTCCAAACAGCTTCTGCAGCTGTGGGAGTGGTCCTGACAAAAGCGGATGCGTGAGGCTGTGCACGCAGACAGATACTATCGAGAGCAGAACACCGGATACTTGTGTGGTTGTGAATGCGTACGGAATATTATAACTTCGAACCAACTAGTCGCTGTAGCACAGAGCGTGCCAGGAGTGTACCATTGGTTAGGTGTGTTCCCTGTGAGATACATCGGAGATTGACTGACTCGGAGACGAGTACAGCCCACGCGCACAACATGGATATTACTTAAGTCACCCACGGAAGGAGATACAGCGCAAAACATCATGTAACACGCACACGAGCAGTCGATACCGTTACCACACGTGTGTACACAAGCAAGAATACAAGTTACAACTACAATAGAAGCCTACACATCGCGCGAAGGCGGCGTTAGGCCCAGTACCTGTACGCGCACCTAGTCCATCACACGCATGGCTACGCCGTTTACATAGCAGATATAAACATACCCACTAACAGATGGTCAATCAATGGTTTAAACGTTTCCGCGAACCCGCTGTTAAATAACATGTATTCGTATCTGTGCACGTCGTCCGGTTGGTGGTACTGTGCTTTCAAGTCCAGATTCGGCGCACATTTCTTGCTCACCTCTCGAAAATCGGCGATTTGTGCTGCACTCAAGAATTGGCCGGCCACTGAGGGTTGTGGGTGAGTTTACTTCGATCAATAACTATTGTGTGAGGCAAAAAACGCTACGTGTATACACAAAAACGTATCGTAGATGAACTTATTGATATCTAATGTAATATGGTACGCTAAGATTTGATGAGAAAACAACAAAGCGTACGAAAGACATGCCCTGTAC